GATGATACTGTGATATACAGAGAGAGGATGTCCCCATTATCCGGTTTGGCGAGGACCGGCGGCGTTGTTAGATACTGCTTGAGCTGAGCGAATGCCTCTTCGCACTTATCATCCCATATGAAGCGTTTGTTACCGCGGAGGAGTTCGTAAAATGGCAAACATTTATCCGTAGATCGCGAGATAAACCGGTTTAGGGCTGCTATTCTGTCGGTCAGTCTCTGGACCTCACGTGCGTTCTTAGGACTCGGGAGATCCAATATCGCTGAGATCTGCTTTGGGTTCGCTTCGATTCCTCGCTGTGTGACGATATAGCCGAGGTATTCCCCGGATGTTACGCCGAACGTGCATTTCGCCGGGTTCAGTTTCATTCCGTATGCATTTAGTATATCGAAACACTCCCGGAGGTGGGAAAGATGGTCGTCGGCGTGAAGGGACTTGACGAGCATGTCATCGATGTAAACTTCCATCGTCCGGCCGAGCTTGTCGGCGAACATCTTGTTGACAAGTCGCTGATAGGTGGCGCTGGCATTCTTTAGGCCGAAGGGCATGACTTTGTAGCAGTATGTTCCTCGATCGGTGATGAAGGAAGTTTTCTCCCTGTCGTCGGGGTGCATCATGATTTGATTGTACCCGGAGAATGCATCCATGAAAGTGAGCAGCTCGTTCCCGGCTGTTGCTTCCACGAGTCGATCGATATGCGGGAGCGGGAAGCTGTCCTTAGGGCAGGCTTTGTTGAGGTCGGTGAAATCTACGCATACCCACCATTTCCCATTTTTCTTTTTGACGACAACGGGGTTAGCGAGCCATTCCGGGTATCGTACTTCAACGATCGAACCGGTGTCTAACAGGCGATCAATCTCGTCGTTGACCGCTTTTGCTCGCTCTGGGACGAGGCGACGATGTTTCTGCCTCACCGGTTTGAACGTCGGATCCACGTGAAGTTCGTGAGTGGTGATGTTCGGGTCGATTCCTTTCATATCAGAGGTCGTCCAGGCAAACGTTGAAGTGTTCTGCCGAAGGAAGGCGATAATGTTTTCTCTCATGTCATCTAGCAGATAAGCGCCTACTCGCAACACTTTACTTGGGTCATTTTCGTCGAGGATGACTTCGGTGACGTCCTCTTTCTGCGGGTAGATTTTATGTATGGGCTTGGTCACAACATTGACGTGTGAGTTTTCCTGGCGAAGTTTTACAGCTGCGACCAGCAATTCGCGCGCCGCTTGTAGATTGCCACGCAGAGTTCGGATCCGGCCGTCATTTCCCGGAAATTTCACACATTGGTGTAGAGTTGACGAGATTGCCTTCATTGTGTGCAGCCAGGGCGTTCCGAGTATGACATGGTAAGGTGCGACAGTATTTATCACCGAGAATTTCACGGTTTTTGTTACACCACCTGCGTATACGGGAAGGCGGATGGTCCCGATCATTTCCTCAGAAACTCCGTTGAATCCCGTGAGGGTCCGATTGGAGGGTTTCATCTGTCGGAGGTCGATTTCCATTTTTCGAGCGTGTTGAGGAAAATGAGATCCACAGAGCTTCCTGTATCAATTAGAACTTTCAGGACTTCGCATTCACCGATCCCGAGCTCCACTAGCAGAGGATCGTTATGCGGCATGTGTACGCCGACAGCGTCCGCCGGTGTAAAGGTGATCGGCGGGCTATCTTCTGGTTTGGATGGCCACTTCTTGGAAGCGATTGCTTGACGTTGGTGGGCTTTAACCGATCGGACCGAGTCCCCGCATGGAGTTAAGATATGTCCGAAGGTCCGAAGATCCTGTATCATCGAACGAGGATTGTGCTCCGTGTGAGAGGATGACTTGGATTCGCTTCCTGTTTTTTGGTTGCTCATCGTCGGCTTCCTGCTCATCGCGGGGATGTTCTGTCGCGTTTTCCTCATCGGATACGCCTGAGCGGTTTTCTTCATCGCGCCGGGATTTATCAACCGTTTTCTTGGACCTTTTATCTTTGTTTTTGCTCCGACTTTTTTCGGCGTTGGTCCGTGGTTTCGGAGGTTCGGCTTCTATCGCCCGGCTGCGTATTTCGCGATAAGATGTTCGCCAAGATGTCTGCAGTCCTTCGTATCATGGCTCTTGGTATTGTGATATTTGCAGAACTTGTTTGTTTTGGTCCGTCGGGGGGATCGCGAACCAGACGGTGATTTGGCGTCGCCATCTTCGCGGTAATAATGATTCCACCCTTTTCCCCGGACTACGACTGTAGATGGAGGAGATTCGTCCCCTTTGACGTGATAAATGTATCCCTTCTTGCGGTCATTACGATCTCCAGAAGAATGTTGACGGGGTTCTTGGCGCGAATCTTGTCTTGAGTCGTGACTCTTCGTAGTTCCTGGTTTATCCGGGTTCCTTTTGTTAAGTATCGCGCGAGTATCTTCCTCCATGCGGATAAAATTATGGGAGCGGGCAATAGCATCTTCTAGTGAAGTGGTCGGACTTCGGTAAAGATCCTGGCGGAACGGTGAATGTACGTAAAGTGCATTCTGGAGGGCCTCGACGGCCATGCTGTTCGGAGCGTTGAATTTGGAAGCCAAAGTTTTGAACTTTCCCATGAACTCCTTGAGGCTTTGACCGGAAGTTTGTGACATTTTCCAGAGGTCAGAAGCCGTGGCTCCTTGGCGAGTGAACATGATGTAATGCTTCAAGAATGCTGAGGATAGGTCGTGAAAGCTATCGATGGAGTTTTTGGTTAGTCGAGAGAACCATGTTAGTGCTGGCCCGGTGAGACTTTCGACGAAGAGCTGACAGAGTCCTGCGTCTCTCTCTTCTTCGGAAAAGCGCGATCTGCCCATCACGATGTTGAAGGCGGTTACATGGTCTGTCGGGTCGCTCTCTCCGGCATAGGTGGGGAGTCTGAGTTTTTCGGTCAGGCGGATCTTGACGCTACTTATTCGCGCGGTGAAAGGAGTACGCAGTGACTCTGCTAAGACGCAGTCGATCTGGGGTGCGGCACTCGTGGCGTGATTGATCTGAGACGTTATGGTTTGGAGCGACAGTTTGAGCTCGTCGATTTCCCGTGCGGTTTGAGAGTCAGAACTGCTAGCTGGCAGAACGGAATCGTCCGTCGGGGTGTCTTCGGATTGCATCGGCTGGTTTGCCGGCGTTGGTGTAGGGTTGGTATTGAAGAGGAAACGACGGACTGAAGCCACGTCGCGAGCCGCCCCCTCCGAAGGTGAGAAAATAGCGGCGATAGCTGCGAGCTGGGCGTTTGTCTCCATCTGAGCTTCGTCTTGCTGAGCGAGATGGGCCATGACAGAATCCATGACAGTTTCGAGGGTCGGGACGACTGGAGTTTCCTCCGGTTGTATGTCGGGAGAATCTGCTTCGTCGTTCGGCATGTTTGTCACACTGCTTCGTTTTGCCCCACGGTGGGCACCATCTGTTTGAACCGAGTTCGGTGATAACAAGTGAATAATTGACGGAAACTCGTCGGTGGGTTATTACGAAGGTATAAGCGGACAACGAAAGCGAAGAGTGATTTTATTTATCGAAGAGTGAAAGTTACAAAAGAAACAATGATGCTCGGAAGCTCTTAAAGTTTGTACGGACAGATCTAAGAACAACGCTATAGAGAAACCCTAATTTGGTTGCCGCTTAGTCAGTCTCTTTCGGATCCTCTTTCCGTTCAGCACTTCTTCGCTTTTATAGGTTATTGTACGGAAAACCTAATGGGCCGTATCTTTCTCTCCATGGGCTTCCTCGACGGGCCTCATCATCTTACTCGGTACGGATGATGAAGTAAGCTCGCACGGATTCCCTTGTCACGTTGCGCCTAAAGGTTTTCCTCGCTCGTGCGAACTGGGCCTGGGCTCTTATTCGACGGGCCTTGAGGGTTGGATTTGATCCTATCCCCTACAGGCACCAAATTCAATTGCCGTCAAGAAGAAGTCATCAACGAGGAGATGTATCAAGGGATTAAAATCCGCAGGTTCTACATCGAGTGCACCAACTGCTTGGCAGAGGTGACAATCAAAACCGATCCAAAGAACTCTGGTTTTGTTGTCGAAGAAGACTGAAAAGCTATCAAGGGGACTCGAATCTCTGTGTCACAAGTTCACAACTATGGCAGAGGAGAGTAAATCGGGTGTTGCTCTAGCTACGCTTTTTTAATCAAATCCGGATTATGTTAATTAGATTTTTCATAGGTATGTCGTTACATTTATAAATAAGATAATTAGGTTTTGCATATGCATTCTACATTTTAGCTTACTGTGTAAAGTTTCAGTAATCATCTCATTATACACAAAAAAAAAAAAAACTGATCTTGGTAAACTTCTGGTTGAATCTGAGATTTGGGTAAAATAAACTAGTTGTCGAAGCATTGTGTGGTAACGCAGGCGACGCAAGGTAAAGTGTTGAAAATAAAGGCAGCTTTTTTAACAAGGTTAGTTTTTTTTTTTACTCACCTAGATCATGTCCATAAATCAAATTCAGTACAAAACACAAAGACAGCCAATATGTAATTGTGTAAATCAATTATAACTTCGTGATTTACCATGGTATTCAATACGTGACCTCTTTAGGATAAACCTAGATAGATTGGGTCAGATCTATTACAGCTTGTTTCATTCTGTCTTGTTCTTGAAGATCTGACAGTGGATAAGTAATCTTGATGATAATGTGGCGGTTTCGCATATGAGCATTCTAAAAACCTTTGTGTGTACAGTTTCAAACTCTGAGAGAAGAATGAAAGGTGTAGATTGTAAAACATTTTAGTTGAGACTTGATGATTTGGGTGTTTTAAGAGAGGGACATTATGATAAGTATTTTTTGACTTCATGTATTTTTTTTTCTTCTTCTTATTCTCTGTTTTGCTACTCTGATTCAACCAGCACCGTCACATGATAAGTTCCACAAGTTTTCCTACAAAATTTTCTAACATCCGAAACGTTCTCTTTAGAACTAGCTCCGGGCTCGGACAAGACATGGCACCACAATATAATTCTCCAAACTGTTATCTCCCATACATGAAGATCATGAAGAATCTTAACTCCCTCGTGGTGCACGCTCCATCAGTATCCCAAATATGTTTTTGAGCATTGGGACACTCGCAGCTAGAGCAAACGCAGAGAAAACAAGAGTGCATATCAATTCAACCAAAACCCATTTCGGTTTCACCCAAATGATTCCTCCACCGATCATTACACCAAGTGATTGAATCATATCCGCCATTGCATGTAGATAACCTCCTTGCATTTTAATATTCATCTCCTTTGACGACGATTTCTCACTAAATGACCCGTTAAAGGATCCATCTCCTCTTCCTCCTCTTCCTTATGACAATGTTGATGTTCATGATGGTGATGGTTATGGTTCCTCTTCGTCATGGTCAGGTTTCGAAATGAGGATTTGTTCCAATTCTATGAGCTGTTTATACGTCTCAAAGGCTTGCCTTAGAGGAGGCTAACAACCTTTTTATTTGTGGTTTTTCTATGATTAGAGATTTGAATAAATCCCATATTTAATGTCCAAGAAAACGAACCTGAAAATCAGATGGAGAGGCGAAACGAATGTTCTGCTCTTCAAAAATCTTGAGTTTCATAATTGTATCTTATCTAATACAATAAAGTTGACTATTCTCCCTTCTTAGGGTGTCCACATCAGATTTTTAGGAGGGGGCAAATAATTCCACGTCAGCAAGAACCCAATTAAATTAGACCGACCACATTTCAGTTCTCCCGTATCGGTTTAAATCTAATACAATAAAGTTGACTATTCTCCCTTCTTAGGGTGTCCACATCAGATTTTTAGGAGGGGGCAAATAATTCCACGTCAGCAAGAACCCAATTAAATTAGACCGACCACATTTCAGTTCTCCCGTATCGGTTTAAAGTGGTTTCTGTTTCATGGTTTTATGGTCGATTTTGGGCCGGGTTTATTTTGTTAGAGGCCCATTTTTTTAAGGGTGTTTGTTCTCTTCGATTACGAGGAACCTCCGCCTCCATATCGCCGTTGTAACAACGTTTTCACAAACGTAACCGCTGCCTTTCCCATTAATGGCTTCTTTACTCTCACCTTTGGATCCTTAACCACAATTAGACCAATTATCTTCATCTCTTTGACTCCCACATAAACTGTCTGTAGGTTGAGTATAAATGAGAAGTATTGAGCTTTGCTCAAGCGCCAAGCACCGAAATTGTCGCCATATACATCAGGTACCCTATGTAGGTCCTAATCCTTCTATATTCGCACGGGATGTTGTTGATATCGGTCCGATGTTGGAGCTCTGGATTGAGCGTACAATTTATCTATGTGTCAATTTGATGGGGTTGGTTCTTCCTTTTATTCTGTGTTTATTCACTTGCTAATACTGAACCTAGATTTAAATTCCCAGATCATATTTCAATTTCAGTTAAAGGTCAGAAAGTTTTATCCGATAAAATTCTTTCATTATGTAAATACTCTATTTTCTGATTTTTTGTTGATATTTATTAGCCCTTTGACTCTTTGTCTCTCTCTCTATACAATTGCAGAAATGATGTGACGATGTGTTTGTACGACCATGTGACCTTAATTTTCTCTTTCTGATTCTCAGTAATGATTCATGAAGATTAAACGTTTGATTTCAAATATTTTTGTTTTTAGGATTCGTGATTATTGTGAAATTAAGAGTATACATTTTTGTTGTGTTCAGTTAGCTCTTTGACTCTCTACTTTCCAAACTCAATTCTTTTGTTCTCTCAGTATGGAGAAGCAGATATTCTTAGCGCTCAAATCTGCCAAAGTTTGTCCTTTCGTAACTTTGATGTAACAATTATATCCTCGCATACTCTACTATCAATTTGTTTGGTAATCAGTCTCAGAGCGTTGGATTTTTTACTGATGGGTTTGCGACAACACCGACCATGATGAAACTGAATCTCATATGGGTCACTTCGAGAATGTATTTTGAGATCTATAGATATCCAGCTTGGTATTGTTTTTTTCTGTTTGCTATGTATGTTTTGACGACAACAAATGAGTTGAATTTTTGAAAATTTTGGTTACAAGGTTGATGTGGTTGAGATAGAGACATGGTGTCAGAGTGAAGGAAGGATATGACAAGGCGTGATGGGATTCTGCTAACGGTGAATTCACTGGCCGTGCTACTAGGTTTCCGTATCATCATTGTTTGCTCTCTCCATTGGTTTGTGTAATGAAATTAAATTTTCTTATGTTAAAAGATATAAGTTTTAGTCACTTGGATTTATGGGACTGTCCTGATTAGTTGTACGTATGTGTTACCATTCCAGCAAGTGGGTGATCATGAACCAAGATACAAGATGGCTACATAAAGTTTCTGGTGATGTTCGGGACGAGCACTTGATGTTCTGTCCTAAAGAACAGTAAAAGAAACTTTGTGTCAATGCAATGCTTGCTGGTCTATCATATTGTTATATTCATGAAATGCAAACTACTCTGTTTTATGTCTATTTTTGTAGATTAGCATTTCCTGAGGAGGAAATTAACAGAAGCTGTAAGAAATCCCCAAACTCGAAGATCTGGCCAAGTACTCAATCATTAGACTTAAGGTATAAAATAAAACAATAAGATTCTTTGTAAGAATCAACATTCCTAAAAGACTTTATAATCATGTTTCTTTGCAGCCAAGACGTGCTGATCTCGAAATGAACCATCATGTCACTAATGTCACCTATATTGGATGGCTTCTTGAGGTTAGTGTCATCATCAGTTTTTAAAAAAAAAAAAAAAGAAATTCAGTAATAATCGTATGACTTTGTTTTCTGGTCATAACTCTGGATTACATACGAGAATGTCATCAAGGCGATGTGGTGGATTCACTCACCACCTCAAAGAATGGCTCTTCTTCTACTTTTCTCAGCAAAGCTTGAAACGATGGTTTCTTCAAGTGATAAACCGGAGCAAGAAATCTCTTCTTCTTCGGATGTTCTCCAACGAACACAGCAAAGAACCCCTAGGGTGTTGATGATTCAGTAGTAAAAGACCACGATTGATTTGCTCGGTGGCAAAATAACTCCTCAAGAATGCCATTACATGTATTTGAAACAAGGAAATTAAAGGCTTTGAATTAATAGCTCAAGTTTAGATGTTGTTTTGATGAGAGAAGGTTTAAGTTTGGTTTGGTACCTAGAGGGAAATGTGGGTCTATCTATACAGAAAGGTTCTAATAATAAAGACCTTTGATGGAAAAGTAATTTTAATTATAACAAGGAAAGGTGCTAAGTCTGGTCCGCCAAATCTTTGCTATTTAATAGAGTTTCCAATCATGTCTCTTGAATTTGAGGGCCAATTATTTTTTGAATTGGAATTTTTTTTTGTACTCGGAAGTTTAGAAAGATAAACGTTTAAAACCCAATTTCAAATTGATCAAAATTTTGGACAATAAATAATTTATTTTCTTCTTTTTCACAGAAAATTTCCATAGCTTTTTTTCTACCCACTATCTAATATTATAATGCTCCAGTAAAAATCATTTAACAACAAACTAAATACTTCACAACTTATTATTTCTTTTCTGAGACCAGTTTATTGCCATTAAATTTTGGTTCAAATAATATTTGTCCTATGAATGTATAATTTTCGTAAACACATACTGAGATATGCACAATCGAATGATCACTTCATTGAAGAAAAACAACCCAGACTTACATGGAAACAAATATATACGAACACCTCATTAAAATACAACTATAAATAATAAACATAATTTGCAAAAACTTTGCACCGAACTAGGGGTTCGTACAAATATAAATTATAAGATGATTCTCAACAGTGGCGGATCTAGAAACAACATTTATCCGGGGAAAAATCAAATAAATATGACTATTACATTTACAGTTTCAATTTTCATTAGGGGCATTTTAAAAAAATTAGTACAAAATTACACTAATTAAAATAAATCATGGTGGGCAAGTGCCCCACCCACTCATTCAGTAGTTCCGCCCCTGATTCTCAAGGCTTTTAGAGATATTAGAAATACGGTCTACAAATATACAATAATCTAAGAATAGAAATAAAAAATCATCTAAGATAAAATAAAGTATAAAAATATCTACATCGCTAAAATGAAAATGCCTACGCAATACAAAATTCTATTATGAAATTTACTTAGCTGTAATAAGATTTATGTTGGATATCATAACATCAAACCATTTCAATTCTAAACACTAATAAAAATAGAAATCAAAAGATCATCTAAAATAAAATAAACATATGAAAATATCTACATTGCTAAAATGAAAATAGCCTATTTAAACTATCTCAGTAATTCTATTATGAAATTTATTTAATTGTAATAAGATTTAGGTACATGAGACACACATGAAAGTTAAAGTCATTGGCTCAGATGATCACACTCATTGACAAAATTCTTAAGAACATGATTACTTCCACACACTACTTTGACCTTCTCAAACTTCAAAGACTGTTCCAAAGATGGTTAAGTGGGCACTAGCTCATTGCATAGTTACAGTTGTTCAATCTTATTTTGGTGATTTTTTGTGTACATAAACTTTTGCTCTTCTTAATATAAATTTTACATCTCAGAAAAAAAAATAGGTTAAATATCATAATATCAAACAATTTCAATAAAAAAACTAAAAATGAATGCAAATCCTTAAATACATAATTTCAAAATATTTCAAAACAATAAAAGTTAAAGTCATTTATCAAATAACAAGTCAATTACATCCATTTTAAAATGTTAATGACAGTTGATTGTGCTTCAATTTAAATTATCTCAAACTTCCAATTAAATACACCTTTTAATTAACCATGATTATAATAATTCTAGATAATATATTATAAAATTAGGTATACAAAAAATTATGTGTGACTTCACATCTTCTTTTCCATTAAGGCTTTTAGAGATATGATCTACAAATATAAAATAATCTAAGCTTAGAAATCAAAAGATCAGTTAAAATAAATAAACATACAAAAATATCTACGTTGCTAAAATGAAAATAGCCTAATAGCAATCTCAATAGTCCTACTAGATCTTGATCCGCACTACCATGTAAATTTTTTTAATACTAAAATATTATACAATAATTTTATCAGTAAATTAATATAATTTATTTATATATTACCTAACTTTATAATAATGTTTGTGTGACTTATAACATAATTTTTCTTTTATTTCTGATTTGGAAATATATGTGCAGATTTAATTAATTTAGACCTACACAATAGAAATTTTTTTTTTTGGGATATTTCTAAAAAATATTACATAGATTTTAGATCTTTTTTATAAGTTAAAAATAAATTAAATTTAATTTTAATTAATTTTATGATAGTTAAATTTTAGTTAAATAATTTTCGAAAATATATTTTAAAAGGATACTAAAATATTTTTAAAAGATTTGTTTTTTGAATTTTCTTTCAAATATTTGTTTATATATCAAATGAAAATTAAAGATATAAAAGATATTATAAATTAGTTATGTAATATCTAATAAAATTTATAAGAGATGGTCCAAAATGAAATATCACACATGAAAGAAATCATGACTTCTGTTTTAAAATATAAGATTATAAATTTTACTTAACTGTAATAAAATTTAGGTTGAATATCACAACATTAAAAAAAAAATCAATCCTATACACTATTATAAAAATAGAAATCAAAATATCATCTAAAATAAGATAAACATAGAAAATATCTACATTACTAAAATGAAAATAGCTTATTACAACTATCTCAATAAACCTATTATGAAATTTACTTAACCGTAATAATATTATATCATAACGTCAAAAAATTTCAATCCTAAACATTAATAAAAATAAAAATAAAAATTAAGGAAAACAATAATTCATACACAATAAATAATCAAAGTTTTTAACACAAATGACAAACATCCGCGCGTAGCGCGGACAAACCACTAGTTGTCAAGAAAATAAAGAATAGTAAATCTTGAAAGGAACAAAAAGTACATGAGAGTTTATAGATGTCTCCAAATCTAGATAACGGTCGTTAAAGTTAACGGAATATGAGAATCTTTGGAGAGTTAACGACCATCTTTAAAGGAGGATCTATAACACTTCTAACTCTTGTATCTAAATGATTATGTGGAGAAATTTAAATCAAAAAGACATAAATTAGTTAGATATGTTTCTATAATTTGTATTTTTGGAACCACTTGCAAATAACATGTGTCATGTTTTGATAGATAATATTAAAAAGAAAAATTAAACCTAATTATTTTTTGTCTCTCTCTTTATGATAGAATTTTTAATTGTATCTACTATTGAATGGTTTAAAAGTAAACAAATTTCTAAAAATTTTGATTTGATTATTATTAATTAAAAAATAGATTTAGATCTCTACAACTATATCCATTGTTTGAGATGATGGTCTAAGTCGCTGGTGCCTTGTGACGTATAATCTTTTTTTTCGTCTTTAATAGGAGAACGACAGAAGGCCATAAATCTAAATATTTGTGCCTTACATTATAATTTCGGATATTATATGCTTCTTTGGTGTGCCGCCTACGTCACTGCAGATTTGTATTATTGTATTACCAGAGGTGGCGCCAGGCCAACAAAATGGACTGACTCTTCTTCTTTCAAGATATGGATTCAACTAATTTCTTGGATCTAACGTAAAGTACAAAAGTTAAAAAGGTCGTGTTGCTTTTCTTTCTTTTGGTCAAAGGTCGTGTTGGTTTTCTATTCTTTCATTATATTAATCTTTCAATTGTTTTCTAGATATAACATGATCAATTCTATACTATTAAAAGTGAAGGCACTCTTGAAAAATCGACTGATAGAAGTTGTGTGCACCCTTCATTAATAGCATTTTGGTAATTTATTTTTTGGTCTTACATCTATATATATATATCAATTTATAAATTATATCACATATTAAATATATCCGATTTTTTCTCTCTCTTCCTATTAATTACTCTAACCATATTCCATATTATATTTCATACATTTATATTGTCTTATATACTTTATATTATGGTTTTAATCTATAGATTGACTACATAAATATTTATTATAATATAAATTAATTATATGGTGTTTAGATGCTCTCATACTTATAAATGTTTACATATTTATAAAATAAATTGTAATTTTAAATCATAATATATAATTCAATATACTGTATAATAAAATCAACAAAAAATAAAATTATTTTTATCAAATAAAAATATATTAAATTATATTTTAATATAGTAATTTAGATATTATATTAAATATAATTTTTATTCTTTTAATATATATTTTAATATTTTTCATTAATAAATTGAAATATGTTGTAACCTCTATGAATATATGTTGTCATGAATATGTAATTCTTTTAATTTATAGTTTATAAAATAATTTTAATTAAGTTATTATATATATATATTATTTATTGTAGTAATTTAATTATGAATATGAATAATGTATTTATAAATATTATAGTAATGGTATTTCTTATTTAATAAATGCAAATGAATTAAAATTAATTGTAATAATATTTAAAAGTATATCCTATTATTTAAAATAAATATTAAAACAATAAATATTTATATTTTACTGAAAAAGATATTAAAAGATATTGTCAAAATGCAATATTAGAAAAGATCTTAGTAATATCTTTGATATCTGATTTTTAAAATATTTAAATAATATATTAAGATTGTTATTGAATAATAACTAAATTTGTTATATGCAAGATAATTTCAAATATTTTCGTACTAACTTTTCTTCATATGTCGATATATCATCATTCTCATGGTGACATTTAATGGATGAGATACGTTTTGTTAAAAAAATATTCTAAAAACTATTTTCTATAATTATCTTCGTACTAAAATAAATGAATTGCTTTATCTATAAGTTTATAAATTAACCACAATCAATATCGTGGTTAGTTATTTTTTGTTTGGTTTCCATAAATTTCGGTAACTTACCGTAGTTGTATTACCATTAACTGTTAAACTTTAAACTTCTTAACTAATTCAAAATATCTTCAAGAAAAATTCCTTATTCCTCGAAAGAGATATTTTTTAAAATCCTCTAAATATTCTTTCCTATATTAACGTAACCTAAATGTATATCGTCCCTACCTATTATAAATATAGCCTCTTTTAACCACTATATTCACCATTCATTGAAAAAATTTAAACAAAAATGGCGAATAATTTGCAGTTGTCGTGATATAAAACCGAGGAAGACTGCATGTCGCATCCAAGTCAAAATCTTTCATACATGGAGACATTTCATGAAATACATAGGAGAGACCATGGAACTAATCCTTTGTGATGTAAATGTAAGTTTATCGTTTTGTATAGATTTATGATTTAAATATCTTCATTTTGTAAAAGTGTAACCTAAATGATAATGCTTTCTAAGTGCGGATCAAAACCTAAATGATAATATTCTTCCCTATATTTATGGAAAAATTCTTCTATTTTTAAAACTATATTATTTTGAATCATAAATGTTAATAATTTTCTTATTGGTCAGTTTTCACCCATTTTTATAACTTATCTCCATTGTTGTGTATCTATCTAACACGAGTATATTTTTATCTAGATGTTATTGGACAAGTTCAAGACTTGGGTGATCTGGAAACCATAGGGCGTAGTGGTGGGAAACAAAAGAATATGTTGGAGTTTAGTCTCTTGGAAACCATAAAAAATTTTTTATGGTAAATAGTATAAAGTTAGTCTCCTTACCTATTATAAATTTCTCAAGCGCGGATCAAAACAAAATTGACGAAACATAAATAAACTATATAATTCCATTAACATATTTATTGGATTTAACTACAAATTTGTAATACAATTTTGGGTATTTTTAATAGTATTGATTTTTCAAGATTATTATAGGTCATGGACCCATCCAATTTTAGTTTCAATCTAGTATGTGTTTTAATTCTTCAAACTCTCACAACACTAAATTTTTTGATTTTTTTTTCAACCAAAAACTGACTCGGTTATGCAAACTAAATGAAAAAACCCTACTAAAACGTTAAATATACATCAAATTTCGCATATAAAACTCTCATATAATAGAAATCGGATCATTTTATACATTTTGTTATAACTGAAACAAAACTCGCGCTTCTCAAGTGCGGGTCAAAATCTAGTATGCTCTTAAAGTAGTTGTATATATTTTGAATACAAGTTATTGAAATGATTTGTCCAAATCTAAAAAGGAGGAAGCGAGTACAAAAACTTTCAGTCCAAATGGTTATTCGATATCGAAGCAAGAATCTGGTCCTCAGATTCTGAGATACTTGGTTGTCTCTAGTGAGTTTGGCTTCTTCGTTTGCAAGATCAATAGCCTTCTTTACCCTAAACTCTTTGACCTGAAAATGGAGTTTTCGAGGAAACATTGCGTGTTTCTCATTACCACATAGCTCTGCACCTTCTCCCCAGAGGTGCTCATGCGAGCTAGTACAATTTCTTTGCCTTCCTTACGTTGATTTAACCAACGTCAAATTAGCTTAGTGGTTAAAATTTTGAATTACCCAGTAAGAATATAGAAAATCACATGTTTATACACACACATATATATATATATATATATATATATATATCCTGTTGGGAGAAGTCTTATTTCTATAAGAAAGCTAAATTATATAGTTTGGATTTTTTCCTATGAAGATGTATGGACTTACAAACTCTATAACTTCATAATTATTCAAAAAGAAGAAGAATGAATTGCACTGTTCCTACTTATAGGCAAACAAATAAGTATCAAAGGTATGACTGCTTGTGTAAATGATTCCGGTTTGTCTTTGAACTTAATAGCTACATCATATTTTCTGCCTATTTGTTCTGATTTTCCTTAAGGTTTCCCAAAATTTATTTTATTTATTTAGTGAATTGTTTCAGGCACGTCATAATAGAGAAGCTAGCTCGAGTCCTATATATGTTTTTTTTACGACATATGGTTTGTTAAGACGTCCATTTGAAAATTCAACATTCATAAATAATAATATGTATGAATAAATTACATGTCATGTAACATTAATTAAAAATCAGAAAATTAAAATATTTATTTTGCACTTTTTAGTTTGGCTAATTTCTCTCTAAGTTTTTATCACTTACTCAGTTCATTATAATATAATGTTTTGACTTTTCAACTCTGCGAAACGTCATTAGCTACGTATATTTGATTTACTTAGCATCTATATATGTTAGGTGTGGCATCTTTGCTCATTTCTAATCACAGGCAAACAGAAAATGGATAAAAGATGGAGTCTTCAAGGGATGACTGCTCTGGTAACTGGTGGAGCCAGCGGAATCGGGTTTGTCTTTCTCCTCTGTTCTTCTGCTTTTATTTTAGATTTTGCTAAATTTTGATCGACTTTGTCCATTTTAGGCATGCTATAGTAGAGGAGCTAGCCGGTTTTGGAGCTAGAATCCATATATGCGACATATCTGAAACACTGCTTAATCAAAGTTTAAGTGAATGGGAAAAGAAAGGGTTTCAAGTTAGCGGTTCATTCTGTGATGTATCCTCTCGTCCCGCAAGAGAAACACTTATGGAGACCGTCTCAACGATGTTCGATGGCAAGCTCAACATTCTTGTAAGTTAATCTTTATTTAAAGAAACTAAACATATTCTTTTAGGAAAAATAGCTATTACATAGTGACATATATAGTATGGTTTTATTACTCTCCTTCTCCTCAACATAGGTGAACAACGTTGGCGGACTTCGCACAAAGCCAACAACAGAATATCTGGCTGACGATTTCTCCTTCCATATTTCAACAAACTTAGAATCTGGTTATCATCTTAGCCAGCTTTCACATCCTCTCCTAAAAGCTTCTGAATTTGGAAGCATTGTCTTTATTTCTTCTGTTGGAGGGGTTGTATCGATGGAAGGTGGATCTATCTATTGTTTGACCAAAGGTACAACGACTGAGTCATCAATTGAGGACTGCAATAATATTGTAGATTCATATGTTTCTATAGCTACAATCATTATTTAATAACTAAAGTTTCGACAGACAAATAAAAAAAAAAATAGTAAAAACCTTATTAGTATCAAATAGTTAAGACCTTACTATAAATTTCCTTAGTATTCCTATTACATGTGACATGTCTGGTAGTTTATCGTTTTTTATTTTTATGTGTATGCGTAGGAGCTATAAATCAACTAGCACGAAATCTGGCGTGTGAATGGGCACGAGATAACATAAGAGCCAACGCTGTTGCTCCTAATTTTATCCAAACTGCTATGACTCAACCTGTAATGAGTGACAAACTCTCCAGTTCTTTTTCCTTTTTGCCTCAGTTATATCATGCTTTTCTCATTCTTGTGTGTTTAAAATCTTGTGAAAAAAAATCAGCTTCTCGGAAACGCGGGATACAAGAATAATTTGTTAAGTAGAACTCCTCTTGGTCGCACTGGAGAGCCGAAAGAAGTTGCATCACTTGTGGCTTTTCTGTGTCTACCTGCAGCTTCATATATTACTGGTCAGACCATTTGTGTTGATGGAGGTCTCACTGTCAATGGTTTGTCATATCAGTGAGCGGCATGAGCCATACTTGTGTGTGTGTCTCTTAATATGCTTGAGCCGAGACTTATGTATGTGTGCCATTTTTGTTTTTGTGTCATTCATCAAGGATTAATATTGTATTTTATTTGTGTTATATAACAAGAAATGTTATCAATTTAGTTTAAAACATAACTTCATTAAAAGCTTCTTAAGGAATCTATATTATTAAATAACTAACATTATTTTCAACAAATTTATCATATATTTTTTTCTTGTTTTTACTCATTATACTCATTTTAATTATTTTATTAATTGTTTCTTTTAGAATAACTTGACATCATTTATTATAGAAATACAAAACAGAACTTACCTAGTCAAAGGGTTTTAGTATATTTTTTTTACCCTTTCAAACTTCTTCACTAATTGTATATCAATAATGATTCAACGTCATTTATTTTACGTGTTAACCATAATAATTCACATGTTTGAATGAAATTATTCTATTAAATTCAAACTGGTTAACAAATAATTATTTTTTTGACCAAAAAACAAATAATTATTTTTTTATTTACTTAATAGTTGATGCCCCCGGTTCGAGCACCGACCTGCTCGGATCATAGAACCGGCCCAAGGAGACGATCTTGTCGACCAACTCGATTCAGCCAAGTTTTCCCCATCAGATGACACTTACTTGGGTGAGCTGGATGAGCTGAGTGAGCTAAGTGACACTAAAGATGGAGCCGGTTTAGTTGCTGGGCGAAATGGACCTTTTTCAGCCCATATAAAAATTCATAACAAATTCAATTTGGGTCCGTTTTACACCAAATTCGACCAGGCCTTTGCTGATGACATTCTGCCCATTTGCATCAAGAAATATCAACAAAAGGAGTCAAAGTCGTGGTCATATCAAGGGGCATTCAACAACACACTTATTTCTAGTCAAAAGTCTTAGTCTTTGTTTGTGTTTTCTAAGTTTCTAGTTTTCTACAAAAACTCTTCATTTCTTTTGACCACAAGTAGTATAAATATGTAAACTCTTCTATGAATANTCAAGGGGCATTCAACAACACACTTATTTCTAGTCAAAAGTCTTAGTCTTTGTTTGTGTTTTCTAAGTTTCTAGTTTTCTACAAAAACTCTTCATTTCTTTTGACCACAAGTAGTATAAATATGTAAACTCTTCTATGAATAAAATCAGTCTATGTTTTTGAGTTTAATTTCGTTTCTTCTCTGAGTGAGAGAGAGAGTGTTCTTTAGCTAGTTCATTGGTGTGAACCGGCTTGTTGATTTGGTGGTCAGCCATTTCATCTTTGTGTGTTGTTTGGTGGTTAGCCAACACATTCATCCTATCTTTGGTGGTTAGCCTTAGATCGTGGGTATATCAAGAGCCATTCCGCATCTCTTGACGATCCTTTCAATCCATCTCAGTTCCAGAAGTGCCGTTTGC